GAAAAATTAAACGTATGGAAAGGAAAACAACATAGTTGAACCTCTGTTTTATTTAGTAGCAGTCTACACCATCCTCATAGGCTAATTGTAACCTTAAGATCAGGTAATGTTAGCATTATGTTTAATAGTACCAGACCGCAAGTATCAGAAGGATGTGAGAGGGTAGGTGCACCCCGAATAGTGAAAGGCTATTAAAAATTTAATTTTTTCACAACATCTCAATGGAGTGTATTCCATAGACTATATTCAATTTAAACCATCTCAAAGGTACATTCGGTTTTACATCTCTTAATGTTTAATTCATATTTGCAGTACTGAATAACACGATAGACAAGAGGACTTGACACTGCTATCATTATGAAAAACTAAAATTCACTGTAATTTTCATCGTGACTTCAAATTTACCACAGTTTTTCTAACTGAATTTTGATTCAATTGCAAATTCTAACTATAAAATTTCCACTTTGACGTTGATTCCACAGTGAAAGGATCCACTACTATTAACTTTAACATAGATTTTTCATTCAAACTCTGGAAGAAAAATTCGCATTTAGGATTGTTGATGATTATGAACAGTTTTTGAGAATATTTTTTAGCCATTATTTATTTTTTTACTGTGTTTTACCATTTTGTATTGTATAAAAATGATTGATTGATTTGCAGAAAAGAAAAGATCTTGATTATTTCATCAAAAGTGTTGACAGATCTTCTGAATAACTTTTACCGAGCGAATAGTGAAGCAATCTATTTTTCTCAGTTAGGTATCTGTCATGTATATATATATCTTCAACACTGAGATCACAGCTTTACAATTGAACAGGAAGTAGAAAAAACAGATTACGCGATCTAATAAAGAATTCATTTATTCTTTTTTCTCAGTAAGATATCCTATCATGCGTAGAAGTCTGCTGTCGACAACTTTTGTCTTCAAGCAACCTTCAGTCCAATTTTTGTAAATACGATAAAACAAAAAAGAAAACTTCATTGATCGTCAAAAATTTTTCTTCTACATTATTTCTTATATAATATATAAAAGGTTTATTAATTATTATGTTCTACTAACAGTCTGTACCATATTCTTATTTAAAATAATCCAAAAAATTTAGTTTTATATAATATAGGATTTTATACATATCAACAAAAAATGCCTGACAGTAGAGAATCCTGAACGCTCGGTACCCTAGTGAATGTACTTAAGACCAAGTACTTGGATAAGTAATGTTTAGAGTACCTGGAATTTTTTACAAGTAAAAAAGGTACTTATCAAGTAATTTAACAAGTTTAAGTACTAGATAAGTACTTCATCAAGTATTTGGCGGGTAACCTGGTAAGTACTTGCGAAATATACGATACGCAAGTATTCGAAGTTTTTCCAAGTACTTGGCACATATTAAATCTAAAAATGCTTAACAAGTGCTCACCAGATACTTCGGAAAATTTGCAAGTAGCTAAGTACTTGATCTCAATTACATTCACCTTTGTTTAACACAAAAGGTTCGTATAATGTTTTTCGATAAGTTATACTGGAATTAATTACTTGGATCACTAATTCTGAAAACCCTCTAGATAGATATTGTCTTTTCCGACATTTTTGTATAGTGATCGATTAAGTTTTATGATGCTTTTGGATGTGAATGCGAGTCTGACTTTTTACGTTCTGTTTTAAATAAGAATATTCGTTTTTGAATCGATATGTCTCTTTTAAGTGAAAACAGTTAGCTTGTTTCCATACCAAGCATCATATACTACCTCAAATCATTTTATAATTGGAAAATGTCTTATATTTTGTTTTAATGAATTAATGTTGTATATATTTCAAGTTCTAATTTATTTCTCTAATTTACGATTGATGAAATGATAGTGCAGCAAATTTTTGATGGCTAATCACTTTAACTTCTCTTTGTCTTGTAAGATTGTTTTATATCATTTTATACTCAACAATATGATGTACTGAACGAGATAAAATACAAAAGATTTCCATTAACCTTTCTGTAGTTTCTATTTTTTTGAACACTTCATATATATACACTTTTATGTGTTAGATAAAAATTATTTTAAATCAACCCAAAACATAAAAATAAACACCGTTAATTTTTCATAGAGAGAGAGAGAGAGAGAGAGAGAGAGAGAGAGAGAGAGAGAGAGAGAAAGAGAGTAAAAGAAACCTCTTTATACTTCTTTTACTCGTATCTATATCATACAATGTTAAAATGAATAATATATTTATGCACACACTATAGTCTCAAAAATTCCAAACGTCGAAAGGTGATAATAAACCGATTAGAAAAATTGAGTGAAAAAAAGAAACCTAAAATGTCAATGTTGAATTTAACAAAGTGAAAAGACGTTCTCACAAGGTATGACTATAGGAGAAAAGTGTATTCATATCGAATGTCATTATATGAATAATTTATTTTTCAGTTTTTTGTTTTTTTATGTCATATACATAGATACATTCTACAATATCTTCGACAATTCAAGATAACTAAAATAAAAAGTGAAAGATCAGTTTTCTGTAAACATTTTATCTTGTACAGAACGATTCAATTATATAATGTTTTTCTGCAGCGTTTTCGATACAGATTCTAGAAGAGGGGGAGGGGGGAGGTAAGTCTTACTAAGTAAAAAATAGTGTTGTAAGCAACTGTGTTTTTACTGGTTAATAAACATGTTACTCAGATGAGTAAATATGTTAATAATGTTCCAAAAATTTTAGTGGATAACTAAAATTGTTTCTGATCAGAGATGGGCAAGTCCGGTGTTTTTCAGTATGAGTCAAGTCCGGTAGACTAAGTTCGAATCAGTTCCAGTCAGCTAAGCTTTAAGTCTGATATCAATCCCAGCATACATTATTTTCCATTTCAGTTCTTTTTCTTCTATTTTTTCACCAGAAAAACATTGTTTCTTTACATGACTATAGTAACAAAACGCAAAAACAACAAAATTTTTTGTGAATGTTATAAAAAAAAAGGATAAGCTAGGACTTTTTGTTTCCTTTTCTTATACGAAAATGAAAAGAAAAGCCTAATTCATAAGAGAAAAGTTACATTTGAGTACAGTAAGACGCGAGAGTTTTTCTCTCCATTTTTGATCTCTGTGATCATATAGGAAAACCGTTGACAGAACACTCTCAATCGGAGCCGAAGTGCTGGGCGCGCATAATATCTTTGTTGCTAGCGTGCTCAATATCGGGTACAGAGAAGATTTATTGAAAATTAAACTACTATTTGTATCTTCTTTCAAATAACGTAAAATTTCCTCAGCAATAACATTGTCTGGTATTGCTATAGAACTCTTTTGGTTTTTTAGGCAGACGAGCGTTTAGTGCAAAGAAATGATTCAATCAGCAAAAAAATAAAAAGACAGCCGTCTTTTGACCACAACTCATCTTAACGACCACGCAATAACATCAAAGAGATAAAAGAGTGAACAGATTTGATCTGAAAAGTCCAGTCACACCTGTAAAAAAAGAATGAGTCCTAGTCGGGACTTAGACTAGCTCATATCTGTTTCTGAGCATTTTTTTTTTCCGAATAAGGTAGTTAAGGGAGATCACTGTCAGAAAAATTAGGCATTTTACAGTTTCAATAAGTGGTGCATCATACTACACAATATTTTTAATGATAAAGTCACACTCATCATTGTCGTCTTGATGGGTTCGTAGAATTTTGAAGAAAAGTTGATTAAACTTGGCTACAACTTAGGATACGTGTTCGTACAAGAAAATTAATATCGTGAGAACGTCATGTTCTTGTTTGCCTGAGAGAAGACTTGTTTCCAAAAAGGTACAGTTTTTGAATGTTAGTCTTATTTCAACAGCACTTGTAAGATAATTTGGCAGGTAATAAGAGCTTATGTGATAAATGTCGAAGAATATGATTTGACTCTGCATTAATTTACTAAATATCCTATTACTAAATATTCTAATTACGCATTAGTTATTCACTGACGCTTTGTTAGAACTAGTAGGTTGAATTTATTGATGGACCTTCACATATAATGTATGTTATAGTTAAACTATACTTTTCTATTCGAAACCACAAATAAGTTGTTGTTTTTTTTAACCTTGCATTATTATATTTTCTTTTCGAACAAATTTTAATTTGTAAAGCTCTTCTTTTCACTTTTCTTTTTTTTGGAAATGTCAAATCAATCATATAATACTTTAATGCGTACATTTCGAAACAAAAAAAATTTTTTTACTCGACTATTGACGTAATATTTCATGAACTATTAGAAAGAGCACATATTTACATGTAAAGTTTTTTTTTTGTTGCCTCATATCTACAAAAAAAAAGAATATAGAAAGTTGAATATATACACTGTACTCAGCGATTATTCAACAAACATTCATTATATATATACACAGAGAATCTATATGTGATTTAGAACAACTATATACTTCTTTTGTACGTACAAAGATCTTTATCAAAATGTCCTATAGTAGTTAACTGATGTATAATTTTATCAAAAATAATTGTTTCCACTTGCAAGAATTTTATGGTTCTATCGATTCTTTAGTTCATATTCTTTCTGTAAGAATGTTTAAGTGTTTGTATGAGTGATAAATCTCTAATTGAGTAGAGCGATTAGGAAGACAGAATGAGATTCGTCAAAAAACAGTTTTATTGCGTGTTCTTTCCTGTAAACGCCTCCAATTTTGCAAATAGTAATAACGTCTCGTTTGCAAGCATATAAGTATGATTTGTGGTCTACTACTTTTGCATATGTCTGTTACTACCACCCATTACATGTATTATATATCTTATATTGTCTACATGCGTGTATGTGTGTATATATATATATATATGTACACGAAATGAAGAAAGTATTTCTTTTTTGTAAGTCATTGATTTTTTTTCTCCACTTTACACTTGAAATTTCCAGTTATTTATATATACGTAGTCAATGTAAAGGAAAAACATAGTTGAAAGATTTAAAGACATTCTGAACATAATATCAGACTCATTACTGAACCAGTTTAGGAGGGATACGCTAGCATGTGGATATGCCAGGTAATTTTCATAAACAACTATGTTGATATATATAAAGAGTTAATATCTTAATAATCATCATCATTTGACAGGTGACAATCACTACTGTTGCCAATCTCTAGTTGGTATGAAACCGTTAAAGTTGTTTGTTTGTTTATTCATATATTTTTGTGTAAACACGAGCAATTTATTCTTCAATCCAACTAACTATTCTTTGTTGTTTGTTTTTATTTTACTAGAAACTATTATTTTCTTTTTTCCGTTTTGTGCACAGGCATCTATATACAAGAAATGATCTTCTTCTTTTTGTTCTTTTTTTATATTATTGACGGATTTTTTTCCTCTTCATCGTGTTATTAAAGTAATAATAATCGATTGACTAATCTTGTTATAAAAACGAGAAGAAAAAAAAATCTGCTAAAATGTCGTGATATATAAAACAAATTATATATTCCAACCACACAAGAGATAATTGTAATATATGTTCGATTTAGTAAATGATAACTCTTAAAAATTCATGCGAGAATATAAAGTAGTGGTGTTGGGGCCAGGTGGTGTAGGCAAGAGTGCCTTAACAGTGCAATTCTGTCATGCAAAATTTGTTGAAAAATATGATCCAACAATCGAAGTACGAACAACAAAAAGTATTCAATCAACGAAAAATATATAACATTTTTTTTTTGTTTTTAGGATTTTTATCGAAAAGAAATTGAAGTCGATGGAGAACCTGCCTATTTAGAAATATTAGATACAGCTGGTGATTATTACTAAGAAGTTTTTTCTTTATTTCAGTCAAGTTTTCTTTAAAAGTATTCAGATTTTTTTGATATGTTTTTTAATATAGCTTTTCTAGACACCGTCGATCTATGATCTTTTGGAAAGGGGAGGAATATTTATGAAACTAAAAAAAATTGTGTTTGAGCAAAAACGTAAAAAACTCATAATTTTTGCTTTTGAAGCCTAGGTTCCTCTATATTCGGCTATATTTAGTCTAAGATCGAACATTTTCTCCGAAGAGAAGGGAGAGAAGTTAAAGAAAACTAACTATACAAAAATTATTATGTTATAATCCCGCTGCTATTTTCTTTTTCTAGGTACTGAACAGTTTGCTTCTATGCGTGATTTGTACATTAAAAACGGTCGTGGTTTTTTAGTGATATTTAGTTTAACAAATTGGCAAAGTTTCTTAGATATACGAACTGTACGCGAACAAATATTGAGAGTTAAAGGAACCGATAATGTACCAATATGTTTAGTCGGAAATAAAAATGATGCTTTAACACAACGTGAAGTATCACAACAAGATTCATTAAATTTAGCACAATTATGGAGCTGTCCTTATATTGAAACATCAGCCAAAACATCGTCAAATGTAAACGAAATGTTTGCTGAAATTGTTAGAGAAATTAATTCACGTTTAAAATTAAAGAAAAATAAACGAAAAAAGACAAAATCATCATCGATGTTAACCTGTTGTTCAACACTATAAATTTATTTCTCATATTTTCCATTGAATAACGATTACAATCGAAAACGGTTTATGATACGTTAAAAAAAAAGTAAGTACATATTCGTTAGAAGAGATCATATAAAGTCGTACAATGTTTGGCAATCATCTTACTATGAATAGTATTTGTATGAAAAAATCTTAGACTTCAGAAGAGAACAGTATTATTCAATCTGTAAGCTACAGAATGATGCTGTTATTAAAATCAAAATTCAGAAAAATAGATAAGATTTAGTTTAAAATAGTACTCTATTTGAGAGCACTATTAACCCTTTCAATTGATAATTAAAAATATTCACTTATTAGGGGAGTTCTTTCTTTCGAAAATGTCTATTCTATGTACAGTTACGTATTCTACGGAGCTATTTTTAATTATAGGAGTTCATGTATTATTGGTTTCGCTTCAATGAATTTAATCAATGATGTTCTAAAGTTCGTTTAAGTTATTTATGTGGTCCTTCATTATTGTTATAACTGTGTTCATTTTTCTTCATCATCTTGCTAAACACAGATTAAATTATTTGTTTTGCTTGTTTTCTATTTTCTTCAGTTTTAATTTGATCTTTTCTTTTTTGTTCTACACAGTTTTTGTTTTTTTTACTTCAAGTAGATAGCAAACATACGCAATGAAACTGAGATACGACAAAGACCGTCTGATAAATAAAAAAATTGACTTTTTTTTTACTTACCGATTTGAAGACATATTATCCAGATGGTATAACAGTAGATAATGATACAAAGAAAATATGTTGATATTTGCTTGTGAACACGTAAATGATTGTTTGTGATGTTTTCTTTTTTGATAAATATCTGTTTATTTTTCTAGTTTATTTCCTTCACGATTACCATTGTTGCGTACATTTCATACTATATTTATTATTCATGTTCATCCTAATTTTCTTCATTTTTATTCAAATATGGCTGCAAGACAAAAGTGCCTTAAAAATCATACAAAAACGAACATCTAGGAAAGAAACAGGGGAAGAAAATGGATCAAAAAAGTAAGGCATAAGCAACAAGCTGGTCACTGTGAATCATAAATGTCATTCTGAGCTTCAGAACCAGTTTTCGCTAGTTGTCATAGTATGGTACAAGCAAGCGATCACATGGTCTGTCGGATCTCTTACAACTGTTGTTTATGAACTCTTCCTGGTAGCAATTTATTTTCATCCCAGACCATTTTGACAAGATTTTCATAAGAGTGTGTCTTATCCTGGAAGGATGACACTATAGATTTGAACCTGAAGTGTTAAGTTTTCTCAGGGTTATCATAAAAATACGGTTCAAAAACTATACGTTCGTGTAGCAAAGACTTCGACATGAGTGCTGAAAAGCTCGAGGTACTCTTAAAATGTAGCTAAGACTTAGGGCTACAACTTAGCAGAGTCAGATTTTGAAGATTTTTGTTTAGTTTTCTACAAGCTTTTATGAAAAAAGTTGGAGAGAGTTTCATTTTCAAGTTCAAAGTGCATTTCCTCAAAAACTGAATTGAAAATCAAATATTCGGCTTTTGCTAAATTGTGGCACCAAGTCTTGTTAATACAAGTTAAGTCTACCACAAGCTTTGTAGCACTCAAACTGATGAATAAATCTTTGCCGCACGAATAGTTAAAACACAAAAAAACGCCGTTCATTTGTTGGTGCACTTTAGCGCTTGTAGGCAAATACTTGTCACGTTTTAATAAAAGGTGACATAAAGTTGTCTCATTTTCACCAAAAAGGGTTGCTTTACAAATCTACCCGTTTAGAAAATAGTTTAATTGCATAAGTATGGTGGAAAAACCTAGAATTCAAATATTTTATTTTTCCAGGTGAATAATGAACGAACAGCTTTATTCACTAATATTATCTAACCTAAAGGTAACGATCACGAAGTTACCGGCCATGAAATTATTCAAATCGTACTTTCTTAATTATCAAATTTTTTTCAGGCTCTGTTGAAACGTTACTGAAAGATTTGATTTTACCGTAAAATTGAAGCTTCTCAAAAAAGATACAAATTCATTCTAATTGGCTTTATAAGATCAAACAACATCAAACGGGGCATAAAAAACTGAGTGTGAGTGAGTTTGCAAAAATAAAGTATCTGTTTTGAGACGTAACCTCGTAAAATTAATTTGGCTATAGCATAACAACTGAAGAAGTTCCGTGCAATAAAACTTGTTTCACTTAGGAGAGAATATGAATTATAAAACGCACACTATATCGTAGAAGAACTTTTTTGTGCTTATAAGAAACCAATGTCATTAATCTTTATAAGGAAATTAAAAAATTATCACATTAAAATTTTGGTTTGCTCACGATATTCTCTCTTCTAGCACGACATTTTCATGTGCAGTGTAGATGATTAAGTTGGAAACTGAAATACACTAGCATAGAGGAAAAAGGAAATTAAATGTTCAATTTTAAGTTGCAGATAGACTTGATTGTTTAGTTAAAATAAAATAGTTTTAGTTTAGATAAAATAGAAAGGATAGTTAAAGTTTGTTTATACACGCAGTTCAACTTCTTTCATCATATTGTAACTTCAATGTATGGTCATATCATATTCTTCTTCTGTACATGGTACATTTTGAAACGTTCAGAGCAGAAGTACTATTCTTAAAAAAATCTCTTAGAAAAATCACTGCAACAGATAATAGAAAAGTAATATAGTTTTACTTAGTTTATCAAAACTTTTTCAATCAAACATCAATTTTCAATTTCATACAAAATTTTTCATCATAATTCACAATCTGTGTTCTAGTACCATCACCTTATTAGGCATGTCAAATAAACTTATATAAAATTATTTTCAATTCATACTATATATCTCCTACACTGTAATTTTTAATTAATTTCCACTTTATAGAAAATCGACCGAAAAATCGCCGGGGATTTTCTACTTTATAGAAATTTCTCGACAAATTTCCAACTTGCTAGGAAATGTTGATTTTCTACTTCATAGAAAATCTACTCGATTTTCCATAAATTCGATTTTCTATAAAGGTGGAGAATCGCTGAGGATTTTTTAGAAAGTGGAAATTCGCCCAGGAATTTCAAGACCAAATACTTATTCATTGTTTTGTTTTGCAATCAGTGTAGGTATAAGAGGGTTAAGTAAAGACACTCATATTACACTTAAATCAACTTTGACAGTTTCCACTTTAGACCACAATTCTACCTATGCCAGCAAGAATTTTGATTTAGGCAACGACAGTGGTGGCGTGAAGTTTTGGTAGGAAGATCCGAAAAGCGGGATGTTCACCAGAAATTTCTCAGTAGCATGAGCGGGGTCAACCCCAGTACAACCTGGTCGCTCCGCCACTCGGTGCAGACCCGCCAAGGACTTTCCAATTTATGGAAAATCAAAAAGAAATTTCTACTTTCTTGAAAATTATTTATGGAAAATCAAGGAGAATTTTTTAGATTGTTTGAAATTCGATTTTCTATAAACTGAAAAATCCTCGCGGAATTCCCATATGTACTCTCTGAAAATCGCTGAGCATTTTCCATAAATAATTTTCAACCTTACAGTGTAGAGAAAATTAGAATTTTTAGATCATCAATATCGTGAACATAATAATTAATCGTTTTATTGTGATTCTCTCGTCTCTTGTGTTTTTGAAAACATTGAAATGTTAGTATACATACTTTTTAACATTTCGTTCGGTCTAAAAAGTGTTTCTGACTCATTTAAAAATTCTAATTCCTTTTTGAGCCAAAATAAGAGAATTTCCTTCATTCTCCGTGCGAATTATATTATTAAACAATTTTAATGATCGCATACAGATCATGTAGTGAAAAGTCGTAATAGTACAAACAGAAATAAAGAAGAAGAAAAATCATTTTACTTGATATGATAGATTGAAACTTCTCTATATTTAACAAAACATTGACGAAAACGAAGAGAAGAGCAGAGAAAAAGTGTATGTGAAACAAAAACTAGGAAGCGAAGGAGAGAATAAAATAGAGTATCACATTTTATACTTTCATCCATCAAGAAACGAGTTGTTTTCTTTTGATAAAATGACTAATGAAGACGACCAAACACCGATATTAAAGAATAAACTAACGATTAACATCAATGACGTTGATGATGAATTGATTCTCAATAAAAATCAAATCCAAAAAGTTCAATGCCCAACATGCCGTGGAAATGGAAAAATTTATAGAACTGACTCAAGTGGTTTGGTTGTATTAATTCCATTGTGCGATAAACGATTAAAACCAAAACATACATGGATTTGGATACTATTAACATTTTCGTTTTGTTTCATATTTGCATTTACTTGCATATTTTTTCTTTTACCACGTTTAGTACTTCTTCAAGTAACAAATAGTTTAGTTATTGATGATGTTAATTCTACACGAACAAATTCGACATTTTCTATGAGATTCCTATATCATTTTACTCTAAATTCAAAAAACTATATTCCAGTTAACTTGATCAATGTTACATGTGTGATCGAAGATGATTTGGAGATTGTTGGAAGATCCTACAAACTCTATTCAAACAATATTCGAATATTACCACGTGCAATATTAAATTTATCCATACCGTTGGAATTAGAATTTCGAAATACAACCGTACCGTTCCGTCAATGCCAAGGCCAATTTAAACAAATGTTATTAATGAAAATAGAAACTTTAGTCATCTACAACGATCTACTAGCACGATCGCAAAGTACATCACTAACATCTTATCAATATGCTTTATGTAATAAAGGTATTTGGATCAAATAAAATACATCATTTTCTTACTTTATATCAGTTTATGAAGATGTGTTGATTAAGAAAGTATTCCATATAAACACCGATTTCTCAGCTTTCCATACGATTCAGTTATGAGTTAGCTTTTTCATAACCATAATGCTTTCTAGTCAAGATTGACTTTTATAGACTCCAGGCTAAACTAGATTTTTAATATAAGAGCCATTGCATACCTTACCGTTAACGTTTCACCGACTGCCTATTTACACAGAACTTTTAAGACTTTTCGTTTCCAAAATATTTTTGCAATTGATCAGATGCGGAAGTTTATATCTTTTACCTACAAGCAGTTGAGAGGAACAATGAATTCGTCACACTCTTATAGTTAGTTACAGATAAAAAATTTTAATCTTTTGTACCGTAAAATCTGATTGTTGTTTTTTTCCTATACAACTATAGCATACATATGCGAAATAAATCGGACAGTAAAATCAAACATTTATCTATGTGCAACAAAACTATGTTGGTTTTTGAATAAAATTTGACAAAAATTTCTTTTCTTCGTTACTCGAAAATGAAAAACAAACGAAATAGAGAGTCCGAACTAGAAGATGAATTTTTTGTTTTCATAAGTTGACTGTTGGTGTGTCTTATCGATCAACAATTTTCCTTTGGTGACTCTCATCGTTACAGTGCCGTAGCTAGAGGAGCAATCAACGTTTCCCGCCTCTCAAAACGCGTGCGCAGAACTTCACGCAAAAAAATTCATAGATGTCCAGTTATCATTATCCAGATAATAGCTATATAAATAGGATTTAAGGATATAAGGATAGAAAATAAGGATTTAAGAAGATAAGAGACACAAGGGACGGTGTGGGGGTGTGGGAAGGTGGCAGCATGAGAGTGAGTCACGAGACA